TATGACAAGGTCCGTGATTGAAATAGTTGCCAGCTTACTGTTTGGTTTGAGTATGCATATCTGGATGGTATTTAGGGTTTGAAAAACATCGTCCTCATGACAGCTGTTCGTTGCCTTCCATCGTAAAACACATGTCCTCTCACGTAACAGATTTTCAAATGCCTTGTTATTAGGGGTATTTCATCACTTGGTAGCTCACATGACATAAGACTGGTCTGCTTTTAGTAAATGAAGAGCTGAATGCTTCTCCGATGATGAGTCTTCAAAAGTTTGGGTTCGGGTCTGTTTCCAGCCCATTCGAAGCTTCGTACATGTTGCACAATCAAGATCTCTCGTAAAATTTGAACAATCCGTGAATCCCGAAACAATTCGGTAACAATTTGTGCATCCATCTTCCTGACCATTTGTTAATTTGCTTACTGATACATAATTGTAAAATCTGACACATCCGTGTATGAGCGATTGACCGAGCGAATAAACGACAACGTTTTTACAACTAACAAAATGAGAATCTCTGCATGGAGAGCTCTCGTGACTACTAATAAGAAACTGAGGGTGTTATTACTAATATGACTTAGGGCTTAATAGATCTCAAGGCCTTTACAAGAATGTACCCATTAATTTATTATAGTATGAAACGAAACTCGAGTGCTTTCACAAGCATCAAGGTTGGATCATGCAGTCGCTTTTTCGTTAGCTTTGGACTAATCCTGACCGTATCTTTGTGTGTGTGCGGTGAGTGTCTACATGTTTTTGCAGGTGCTTTTCGCAGGCACAGCTTTTCTCTACCCTAACTCTGTTCCTCCTTACTCTACTTTAATATAACATCATTCAATATAGACTAACAGCAAGAATGCTGTGTTAATGTGGTGTATCTATCGTGCTAATAGGTAAATGAACTATAGGAGGTGTTAGTATATTAAAAGATACGCGGGGAAACTTTGTAGGGTAAAAGGGCAGGTAAAATATTACGTTAAGGAAAAATGAAAAAACTACACGTGAAGACTAATATACAGCCATGAAACAAATTTAAGCATAACGCAAGACTGACCTAAAATGAAATAAGGTACTATCATTAACAATATTTTTGGACAACAGAGTTGTAAGATTCCCCGTGTAATACAAGAAACAGCTTTGCTTATTTCCATTGGTATCTAAAGGATTATAAACTCTGTTTCCTGTTTTTAATAAAACGATTAATTAGCTCGAAAGTATTTTCATGTCTTTATGAAGCACGTTGAATGTCTTATAAGTTTCCTTTTTTTCAGTGAGGTTGTCGAGTTTGGTATAAAATACAATAAAATGTGCATTCCAAAATGAATCCTAAAAGATTTCATCCTTCTTTAAAGTATTTTTGGTATGATTGATGTTGTACCTGAAGATTTTAAAGTAAGTTTGTGTGTTTGTTTCATGTTTTTTACAGTCACTGGGTAATTTTTTTTTACTGGTTATTCATGTATTGCTATACAACATATTTGTTAACTTTTAGAAATTTTCATATTTACTAATGAGGGCAAGATAGAAGATTTCCCTTTTTTTTGGAGATGCAGTTGTATTGATGTGAAGTATTTAGTAATGAAAAGGAATCAATTACATCCGAGTAGTATTTGTATATGCTCTGTTTGACATATAAGGGAGAGAGAAGGTTTTTGGTGATCATCGTGCCTATAACTCATTAGCTGATTTACATTTTGGTACAAAGTAAGCTAAGATGCTGGTGGAGGATAGCATTCATATCTCAATACTTGTTTCTAAAAGGCTATAGGTCTAATCTTAAACAACCAATGACATGTTACTGTGTAATCTCTTTATATAAAAAGATGCTCGGGAAGCACGAGTTCTTTTGTTAATTTCAATGTTCTAAAGTTTCTTAAAGGTTCCTTAAAACCGAAAGTTCGTACAATATCTAAGTCAAAAGGGCATTCTTTTTGTTTTATCTTTGTCAAACAGAAATTGGTACTGTATTCGATAAAGGAATATTTCGACCCATCTGATTAAACAAAGATTTTCGACACAGTTTCTTCAGGATGAAGAAAGAAAAATACAAGGTTTGTTAATTGTTTTGTCCTTTTTAGGCTTCGAGTTATGATTAGATGGTTAATGATATGCGAAAATGATGCTAACTAAGCCCAGTATCGGTTCTATCTAAATTTCGAGCAAGTTAGCGGATTGGCGTAAATGTGTTGTCGATCGCTGTTGTTTTTCTACCCTTAAAATTCAGTATTGTCTTAAATGACCGTACTCCAATTTTTGTATATGCGTTTTGTGGTTCCCAACGTAGTATGTTTGATTGTATTCGACGGTCATTTTTCGACAGAAGCAGTTTCTACATTTAATTGCCAAGCGTCCAAGCAAGTTGATTGAAGCTGTTATCAAACAAAGGAGATAAAGTCACATCTGTACTGAGTTTCCCTTCTTCGTCATTGTTAATACACAGGAAACAGCGGGCAATCACTGCCAAAACAAGGCATGTAACGTATTGCACCAATGTACGTTTGCCTTCCATTATAGTTCTTGTTGGGAAGTTTCTCGTTTGGAAGGAAAACCATTGTGTAGAATCATTAAGGACTAGAGTACAGGCATTAACGATCATCGTCTGTCATTTAACTCTGCGGAATACTGAACGACGAATTGTCCCCCTTGACTCTGGGATTGGCGGGTGTTTTACTGTGAATCACGCCTGAAGCAATCGATCACGAGGCCAATTCAAATCGATTTCATGAGTCCCATTGGACATTGGCTATATTTCGACTGATGCGAGAGGCGTGACTCATGACGCAGGACGAGAGCTGTGGTTTGGCTATCTTTGAAAATCTATATAGATCCTGTTTTGTCGCAACAGCAAGCGGCCGCGGTAGACGAAGTTAAACCAATAGCACAAATTACTCGTTGTAAGTTGCGCGACATTGAACTGTGGTTGATAATGAAAGCGATAGGAGAGGCATACGCAAATATTATGCTAGAAGGCATTAAGAAGGCATAATTCCACGGTTGATGCCCTGCACAGATGCGCGGTCAAGTTCTCAAGAAAAGGCCCTACTGCAGACGTAGAAATATTAGAGGATGAAAGGAGAAAAATAGTTACTCGAGATGTGTTGTACATAGCAATAGTTTTTACAGGCAATGCGTTGCAGTATCTCCTTGAGGGGTCTGGTACTGCCGTCAGATGACAGGACAGGCAAGTGTTGTTCCTTATGACGTCATTTCTTTTACATGCAACACAAGTCCAGCAGCAGGCTGATCTGAAATGCTGGACGTGTCCCGGATCACATGGTCTACTACAGACTGAAACGGGCAATGCGTTAGATTTCCAGCCTATCCTATCAGCATCAATGTTCAGGCGCCACGTCTCTGGTTGAAGGGGAAAGTTTTGCACAGTATTTCTAAATACCACTGTTTTGTTGTCAACGTTGTTCCACCTCCCTACTTCTTTAAATATTCCTTGTGTCGTGTTGTTTGGCATTTGAAAGTTGTAGATTTTGTAATCTTCATCGTAGTCCCCTGATGCTGAAAATTTAAAGATTTTGTTCCTGAATGGCTCCTTGAACCGCGTTTCTCGTACATGGGATAGTATTGCCCTGACACTAGTAAGCTTTTGTAGCATGGTGTTATTCTTGCTGCAGTAATCGACTGTTTTGTTTGTTATCAGGCATTCATACCAAATTACTTTTTTAAACGCATAGGCATATGCATACATGGCATTTATAACTGATAGGACTGGTGTCTGGCTGTAATAACCTACTCCGTCCGTAAGTTCTTCGTCACCTGTGCAGGCTTTCTGGACTGTTGAGTTCTTAAACGTACAGTTGAACGTTTCCTCCCAGAACTGCTTAAACCAAACATTTCTTTTGTTTGTTGCAGGCTTGAGTTTGAGAAAATATTCTCTGAATTCCCTAACTTCGCTGTGATCCACCTGAAAAGTAATTGTTCCATTTGCAACTGTTTTTCCTGATGCCACAAAAGATCTTGTTCCCCACCCGTCACTTGCGACAAACTGCAGATACCCGATATCTTCTTTCAACTTCTGAGCAACTTCAAAGAAAAGTTTTAGATGGTTGTCTGTCAACAACAGATACACAACCTTAATAGCGCTTTGCTTCTTAATCATCTGCAGTATGTATTCGTAGTCACCGGTGTTGGCATCCTCTGATATCGTCATGTCTATAGGGATGCAAATTCCTTGTTTTGTTGCAGAATCTCGAAAAAGATTCGATGATCTTTGACCATAGTTTCCTTCTGAACTGATAAGTGCAATGTAATTCCATTTGAATTTCAACGCCAAACTCACCAAAAGCTTCACAGCGTTGTAATCTGATGGTACCGTGCGGTAAAAAAAGCCCTGCGGGATGCGGTTTTCTATGTCCGGGCTTGTTGCAGCGTAGCTGATGGTATTTTTACCGAAGATGTTCATAATCGTTGCGGTTGTTATTGCATCGTCCGAATATTGGGGGCCTACAACGCCTTGAGGAGAGTACCTTGCCACTTGCACTAGAATATCGCGCAAGTAGAGCTTGTCCCCGCACGTATCGTAAATCCGCGTGCGCAGTTTCAATCCATGAAGTATTGAAGTATCATTGTTTATACGGTCTAACGCGAATAGCATGGCTTCGACAAACATAATTCCGTATTGAGGATCGATGATACCACAGCGTTTGAAGTAGTCTTTTCCAAGATTGCCCTTAAGATGAACATTGAATATTCCTGCGATCTTCACTTCTCCTACATCTTGATGTGAATAATACCACGCTAAAAGCAGTATACATTTACATTAGCAATCAATGTTACACTATCTGATTCGATCAGTTATTATCATCAAGATATCATGTAAAAGCTGAGTATTTTGTATCAGTGGAAGAAAGAATTAGTAAGCAGTGGCATCTGGATGAATCTTTTATTAAGGCAAAGAGGTCGTCAAGTTTATAACAACAACAACAACAACAACAACAACAACAACAACAACAACAACAACAACAACAACAACAACAACAACAGAACAACAAGTCTTCAAAAGTTTGCATGTTTTAATAGATAAAGGGATTGAAATAAGAAATATTTCAAGAAGAGGGCGTGAGACGAAAATTGGCCTCTTTATCTATTATCAATGAAACTAAGCAAAAAATCTCATATTTAATTTCTGTTGAAGTTAAGGCAAAAATCATGACGAAATCGAGTTGCCTCCACAGCCGACATTACAATACCGGATGTGGTCTTGATAAAATACATATGATTGCAATTTCCCGTTGGGCTTTTACATCTGCTTCTTTCACATGATTAGCAAAAGTAAGGTTTTCATCAAAATCTAGTTCGAAATACACGTGACTGGAATTAATAATAATAATAATAATAATAATAAAAATAATAATAGAAACATTTCATTTTCAATTCAACTTAAACTACAATTGCAAATCTCACTTTTACAAGGTAATTTGCAATTGGCTAGCCTGGTTTTACACGAAAAAACTATAACAATCGTAAGATAAAAGGAAAAACTGAGAAAAAGAAACAACCAAAGTTAAAAAGGATGTAATTCCGGAATTTGTCCATGGCTTATTTTTGCAACAAAATATGTAGTACGTAGTACGGATGGCAATGTTGGAAAGTTTAGAAATGAGATACCGTTTTTGTTGCTGATCGATGGAGAGAGAGTCACACATTTTGAAGAATGAATCGCAGGAATTGCCGAAGATGCCAAGAGAGCTCATAGAAAGATTAACAAAGGAGATACATTTGAACTGCCGCTGTAAACCAGATAAAAGAGAAGCATACTTGCTGTGTTTTCTTGTAGCATTTGAGTTCAGATTGGATTCGAAGCCAACAGTTTGCTCTAAAATGTAGAGGTAATTGTTGTTAGTCCTCAAGAGAAGATCAGGGCGAAGGTTTTCTCCAGTTATGATTGATGGTGAAAGAAAGCCAGGTATATCAGCGTAGATGGTAGATTCATTGACAGCTTTGAGTGGCGTAGCTAGAAAATTTAGGATAGAGTTATGTCGCCAGGTGTATCGGCCTTGTTCCAGATATGTTTTGCAGCCAGCAACAACGTGAATGAGGGTTTCTGGCAGAAAACAGAAAGAACAGTCAGAGGTCTGGCTCAAGTTCCATTTTTTCAGGTTTTTCTGTGTGGCAAGGGTATTGTTCAGGTACCTTATGGTGAAATTGAAAATATTCTGAGGCATGCTACTTTGCACCTTGGACCAAAGTTTGTTTATTTGTGGAAGATTCTGGTTAAAGAGATGTGATAATAAAGATCCTTTAGAGGTTAGGATGTTTTACAGACGATCTTTATGCTCATGCTGGACAGCCTTTTATGCTTCTTTCGTGTTCCTAGAGGTTAGGATGTTTTACAGACGATCTTTATGCTCATGCTGGACAGCCTTTTATGCTTCTTTCGTGTTCCTATATATATCATGTTGTATATTTGTGCTACTGCTGGTATTTTTCCATAAAGCGCGAATGTTATCGTTTGGTGAAGATTTCATTGCGTTGCGTAAAACTGTTTGACACTGTAGGAATTTGATGGATGGTAAAGTTAGGCTGAGTCCAAACTGGTTTTTAGAAAGAATAATGCTACTCAAGGTAGCACTTATTGGGAGGTCGAGCCACTGGCAGATGTATTTGGATACGAGGTTGTCAAGATTCTCGACAACCCACGTCTTTGAAAGATCCGCTACAGTAAGGTACTTTTAGATTATACTAATACTAATAATAATAATATTCGTATTTGCCCTAGTGTCCGAGCTAAAAGCTCAGTTAACATGAAAGGTATGTTTACTAGGCTTGTGTTATCCACTACATACATAATAACTTCATATAAACTGTGAGACACAAGATTTAGAAGTCATCCAATGTGAAAATATAATATAGAACTTATTGTATCTGATCATACGCAAGAGCCGAGAGAAAATAGATTCACATGAACAACTTCTTAACCCTGTGTCTCCATATATAGTTGGCCATTATCAAATTTGATATCGAGCACCACTGTAATGTGCTCTTTACAATCAACTTATCTACTGACAATGATCTCATAACAGTCCAAACATCCTTTTTTATGCAACCAAGTGAGCCAAAGCAAAGCACTTTCAGATCCACCTCCCAACCTAACGACTGCAGCAGACTGCACAGCAGATTCTCTTTGGTGTTCAGTGCTTGCTCAAAATACAGATCGTAGCAGACAGTCACCTCTAAGATAATGCATTTACGTGACTGATTGTCAATGATAATGATGTCAGGTTTACGATGCGTAATACGCTGTAATTAATCACCATATTCCGTTATTATTGATTCTGCAAGTTTGTTTGCATGACACTGGAAACCACTTATACTTCCTGAGATCACCTCAAATATTTTGTCAGCAATTCGATTGTGACGTCGACTATAAAAGTTGTGAAACTCTCTACATCCATTCATCAGATGTGCGACACTTTCCGTGTGCTGATGGCAAAAGGGGCAAGAAGGGTCATTATCACGATTCCATACATGCTTTGTGAAGTTTGTTCTACTAATAATACTAAAAATAATAATAATAATAATGATAATAATAATAATAATCGAATATTTTAACAGGATAACCTATCAGTACAAAATATACTGTTATCATTAGGGTCCTGATACTTAATAAATACTTAATTAATTAACGGTAAAAGATCTAAAAACTGATTACAAGAGTTCAATACAGTCCAATCTAAAGATAAAATAATTTTACATCAAATAAAATGAGTTTCTAAAATTCGTCTAAAAATAGTTCTAGATTCAATTTATCTGACACTTAGTGGCAAGTCATTAAATTCCTTTCCTGCCTGATTTATAAAAACCTTTGCGTCCAAATTCTGTTTTCACTTGGAATTGGCAACAGCTAGATGATCATTAAAACGTAGAAGAAGGTGTCCTTGCTTTTGCCCATTTTCGAGAATATTACTTTCATTGCTTGCTTTGTGAGATCAGAGTTGAAACTCATTTTCCATCGGTGTCCTAAGTTTGGTATTACGTCCTAAGTTTGGCGTAATTTGCTGTGAATTGAAGACTAGAAACTACTTGGAACATAAATGCGTCAGGCAAAGTTTCACTTCACAGTATGCACCTTCAGCAAGATCATTAATGTAGAAAAGAAAAAAAAGAGACTCGAAAACGGACCCCTGAGGAACACCGGTTAAAAAATGCTTCTTAGAATATGCTTTCCCATCTAGAACTAGTCCCTGATTTCTGTTGTCAAGAAAATTTTTAATCATTCTTTGGTTGAAAATTGCTAGACTAACCCCATTTGAATGAAGGAGAAAATTCTATTATTAGCAGGAACAGACCTTTCTCTCCTGCATGTTATGCTAGCTTCAAATTAAACCGGAGTACATTTTTCTCAAATTCAAACAGCTTTTAATTTGGTCGACCATTTTGACAAAACTACTGGAGTATTATGTGGAAGATGCTCATGCTCATATTCATCTTCAATTTTTTTTACATGATAAACCCTTCAGCGTTAACCAAAAGCGATAATTTAATATAAAAAATATGAATAGTCTAAAAATCACCAATCAATTGCAAAATGAGTGATCAGGATATAAATTGATGCATATCAAATGCCTTAGCCTCTTATCTGACCAATAGAATGCATTTTGTTTTCTTTGCCATGGGTGTAGTCCTAATCTGACCAATAGAATGCATTTTGTTTCCTTTGCCATGGGTGTAGTCCTAACAAAAGCAAAGTTCTATAACCACCTACAAGAATCATCTTGATGATGTAAAAGGGCGTTGATATTGATTTTTATGAAAGGGTGTTGATATTCATTTTTCTACTCTATCTATTGATAAATTGTTATGCAATAGGAGTAAGATATTTGGTACATAATAATTTACGCTTTATGCAAAGTCTAGCTAAAGGTGAGTTTTCAGTTACTTCAATCTCTATGGCTGGGACTTAGATACCATAATAGCAGAGTTAGAAAAACACTGAATGCAGTCACTTATTCAAACGCTTTGTGCGTACAGTGAGCTTTGCTGTTGTGCAAGCAAAAGAATAGACTTCACTCACATAAAAGAGCTAATCAGATCTTTGACAAATGTTGTCTTTAGGACAGGTGTATTTGATTAAGTTTTCAATTTTTCTCTGTATTTTGTTGTGTACTCCGTAATCTTTTTCATTGTTTATAGTACACCAACATTGTTCCTGCAGGGAGAGGAGGATGGATGAATTTGCCTTTGAAACTGAGTAGAATTAGTTTTCAAAAACATTTGGCGAGAATTCTTCTATGGACAAAGAACCTAGAAATATAGACTAAAAATTCAGCTTCCAGAAATCTAGTTCCGTGAGACACAGTTTTGTTTCAGCATATTGCAGAAATCTGGATATATAAATGATTTTTTATCCTATTGAAAACATCCTAAAATTCGTCATCATCTGACCTCTACCCTTATCGTGAATAAGTTCTGCTCTTCATACCGAGGTTCCACGATTGGAAAAAGCTGTAAATATCAGCTATTTTTATAAAATATTTCTTTCAGGAAATCCTTTTAATGTTGGATAAAGAGGGATTTAGCTGGCTAGAACGGTGCAGATCAAGCTAAAAAGCTTTAAAGTGGGCCAGAATTCTCTGCAAACTTTTATCGGAAAATTTAGATCCAAGATCTTCATGACTTTCCTTGACTGCAGCATATAAAGAACAAGTCCTTCTTGAAGCTACTAAAAGTTTCGCTATTTCGCTATTTTGCTATTTACGTTAAACAGATAATTCCCTCACCTGAACTGAAAACCGTAGAAAGAATGAGTATAAGCAACTTCATCATCATTTTGGTCATATCGTCTTGCTTTGTTCCCGTGAAATGTATACAGCTTTGTGTAGACTTGTTACATCGTTTTATCTTGTTAGATAGTTTTATCGTATCATAGGTATTTTGTTTTGAAATGCAACTATATTCTTTCCTAGCCAACCACTAGCATCTGCACCTCTCCTCACCAGAATCATTTCACAAATTAACTGTCAGTTTCGTAACTGTCAGGAAGCATCTTGTTTTTATCCAATCACTCAAATTTTACTTGCAATTGCCTAGATCGCTTGTACGAGTTTCGTTTACTATTTACACAGCTTTGCCAGTTCCTTTGGAATGCTCACGCATCCGAAGTCAATATCTTTCCTACAATTTGTTTTCAAGTTTACCTTTACGCTTTCAGTTGTCATTTCTTGTATCCGGCTCCATAATGCTTTGAAACAAAAGACCCAATATGTAAACTAAGGTTATTCAGTACATTAATAGAGGTTGCCAGGAGACCTCTAACGCATTCTGAAAAAGCAATCTCCTTGTTGGATCTGCTGCAGTTGCGTCAGAAGAATGGTTAGAATCTAACATTGCACATGTGAAATTCACTTTGCACATTCAATAATGAGACAAAATAACAGATGTTGTTTAGCTTTGTAGGCAAGAGATAGACATCAGTTTTTAATCATAACTTTTCATCAACGGAATACCAACCCAATTGTTGAAATTTATGTTTTTAGGGCAATAAAAGAAAGTTATCAAGTTTCTTAGTATTTTTTCGTTTTATTAGATGGTTGAAGCATCAAAATTGACAGTCTTTGTTTTAGTGCTGTTGTTATAATATCAAGATATGTAACTAAGCTTTTAATCCCCCTCAAATATAAAATTCAAACATTTGCTGTTTGCAACAATCGTGATTTACCAGAAAGTTCAATTTCACAGTCGATGAATTGTTGTTGCCGATGTCTAAATTAAAATTTTCCCAAAAAGCTAAGAAATATTTTAGAGGGAAGATTCTAGTGAATCGGGTTCTGTGAATCTTGCAATGAGTTAAGATGAATTATTAGTTTATTATTGGGACTATTATTGCTTTGTGACTTTACGGCTTCAACCCTTTTTCCTCCTGTGGCCTACGGATTAGGCAATTTGTTTTCTGTAGCTTTTTGCTGTGTTTAGCACGGTTTTGAGGCTTTTGCAACCGCTATTATAGCCCCCTCAATGGTACCAAAATGCATAAATATGAATAATAATGTTGTCTTAGGCACAATTATCAATGCATTACCTGAAAGACCCTAGCCTTTGCCTGGAACTCAGTCAGATTTTTTGCGGGATCCGCCCCTGTCACCAATTTACAAAAGTTGGCAAATCAGTGCAAATTTGCTGAAAAAGAAAACATGATACGGGACAAACTAAATTTCTCGATGACCGACAAAGAATTGAAAGAAAAGCTTCTCGAAATGGAAAACCATTCTTTGGAAAGTATTAAAGATAAAATCATTGCTGCTGAAACTACTAGATATGAAATTAATCTTATGGCACATGATGTAAAGGAGGAGAAAAGAATAGAAGCAGTAAAAAACCAAAAGAAGAATCCTCAATCTACAACCAGTCAGATGAACAGATCTGGCGCTGATACAAAATATTGCTTAAATTGTGGTAGCAAACACCCAACCAAAAGTTGTCCAGCCTATGGAAAAGAATGCCATAGATGTCACAAGAAAATAATTTCGCCAAATATTGTCGCGGTGTGAAGAAAAGAGCAGCAGGTACTACCAAGGTGACACACGGCGATCAGGAAAACTGAAGTTACGACGACATATTCTTTTTAGGCGGGCTACAATCCAAAGATGATGCTGAGTCTACATGGTGGAAAGAATTCAAGCTCAATAACTTTGCCATCAAGTTCAAAGTTGATACGGGCGCTGAGGTCAACTTGATTTCGAAAAGTCGATGGGACACGCTACCTCAAAAGATTCCATTTAAGGTCTCAATGGCTGTATTACAGACATTAAATGGTGTAAAGCTTTGAAATGTTGGTATTGTATATAGTTTGCAAATACAGTTTGGAATAAAAGAAACCAAAGTACAGGGTGAGGTCTTTGTCACTGATGATAAAACATGCCCTATACTTGGGTTGAAAACTGCTGTCCAGATGGGTCTAGTTCAAAAAGGAAGCAATGCAAGCGCTACAATAGATACAGTTTGCAAAGATAGCTACAAGGGTTTCACACGAGACGATGTGACACTTGAAGAGCATGCACCAAAGGTCAATGCTCCAAGACGAGTTGCACATAAGCTTATCAAACCACTAGAGGAGAAAATAAAAGACATGGTAAAGCAAGGGGTTGTCGAAGAAGTAGAACATCCCACAGAATGGGTAAACAATTTCATGTCCACGGAAAAGAAAGATGGCACCATAGGACTGTGTTTAGATCCAACAGAACTAAACAAGTATATCAAACGAGAACATTTTACGATTCCAACATTTCAAGAGATAATTGCAAAATTACGAAAGCTTTGTTTTTTTACAATTATTGATCAATCATCAGCATTTTGGCAAATTGAGCTGGAAGAAGACTGTCGAGACGTAACTACGTTCCAGACAAACTCTGGTCGATACCGATTCAAACGTATGCCTTTTGGTATATTGAGTGCAAGTGAGGTACTTCAAAAGAAAGCGTTTCAAATTTTGGGTGACACCAATAACATGCACATCGTCGCAGACGAGATGCTTATCGTAGGAGATACAGAAAAAGAGCACGATGAATGTTTGCTGGCTGTACTAGAACGAGCAAAACTCAACAATATCAAGTTTAATGAACGTGACTTGCAGGTTAAGAAAAAGGAAGTAGTGTATTGTGGCACAAAGCTATCAGTTGACGGTATACAGGCTGATCCAAGTAAAGCAGAAGCCATTCAGAAAATTCCAGACCCAAATAATAAACAAGATGCTCAACGTCTTTTCGGCATGGTTAACTACTTGTCGCCTTTCATTTCAAACAAAACCCAAGTTACAGAGCCATTAAAGCACAGAGCAAGGCTATGAACGCTCTTCAGGATGTAGTAAGTTCTAAAATCATGTTAAACTATTATGATGAAACAAAACCTATCGTTATTCAAGCAGATGCTAGTCAAGTTGGCTTAGGTGCCTGTTTACTTCAAGATGGTCAACCAATATGGTATGCGTCTAGATCATTAACCGACACCGAGCAACGCTGTGCACAGATTGAGAAAGAGTTACTTGCTATTGTATTTGCAACACAAAAATTCCATTACTTTGTCTTTGGTAATGATATCACTGTTCATTCTGATAAAAAACCTTTAGAAGCTATTCAAAAGAAAGATCTTCATAAAGTTTCACCAAGGTTGTAACGCATGTTGCTAAAGCCTCTGGGGTATAAGCTAAACATCGTATACAAGCCTGGAAACCAGATGCATATCGCTGATACACTGAGTAGAGCGTTTGTTAGAGATGAATCTTCGAAAGATATCTCATTTGACTTGAATGTCCAGTCAGTAATGATGTATTTTCCAGCTTCGAAGAGTAATATTGAAGAGTGGCAAAAGGTTGGGGAAGATTTTTTCAATTTTGCTGGGAAAGACTACCTTTTAGTTGTGGAATATTTCTCTAAGCACCCAGAAATTGCCAATGTTCGCAATAAGAGTGCATCCTCAGTTGTTCAAGCAATGAAGATTGCTTTGCACGTCATGCGATTTTACAGACAGTCGTTGCTGACAATATGCCGTTTAATTCGCATGAATTTAGAGACTTTGCAAAACTATGGAATTTTCACTCACTACGTCAAGTCCAAGATATCCTAAAAGTAACGGCGAGGCAGAGAAGTGCGTAGGGATAGTGAAGATGATGTTGCGCAAATGCAAGGAAGATGGAACTGATCCAAACCTAGCATTGTTACGCTACAGAAATGTGCCAATCACAAGTATGGATTGCAGTCCAGCTCAAATGTTATTCAACAGACGTCTTAGAGACAATTTACCAATCAATAATAGTCTACTAAAGCCTCAAGTTGCTTCCAATATCAAGCAACAGTTGCTTGACAGGCAAACCAAACAAGCAGAATATCATAATAGAGGGTAAAGACCACGTTGTGAATTTGAAGTGGAGACCCTGTGTAAGAGTAAAAGTAGATAGTGGAAGAGAGTGGGTACTTGCAAAGATAGAAAGTCAACATTGGACACCAAGAAGCTATATTGCTACCACACATAAGGAACAAACAATCAGACGGAACAAAAGTATGTTAATCAATTCACGTGATAGAGTTAAGATTAATCCACCGTATCCAGATCCTTCATCATTTGTAATGCAACCAGAATCAGTAGAGTCTCGGCAAGAAAATCTACAGGAAAAGACAGAACACAGTGCCCTCAAGTCGAAAGTCTAAAAGAACAATAAAAGCTTCATCCTGGCATAATGACTACGTAGTAGAAATAAAATAATTTTAGCTTTATTAGCTTTAAGGGGAGGTGTCATACATTGTGTTTTAATTCAATAGGACAATAAACTTTGACGGCTTTAGTCAAGTTGTCTACGCCGTTTTGTTGTAGTTCGTAGTTCGCAATATCATTTTCGGAAATGAAATATCATTTTACATTCAAAAGACCAGGATGACTTCTTCAAATACTTTCAAAGGTCGCAATCGAAGCTTGCAAGAGCATGGGAGATCCTGTTAGTGCATCTGCTTAAAACTGTTGCTGTTGAGCAGACCGATAAGCAGCCGACAATTCAGCAATTTGAGGAAATTTTTGCCTAATTTTTTTATTTGCAACATATTGGCCGAACAATAAAACTTTCAAGCCAGTTTTTGTCAATTTGAAATTCAAATGTTTGAATAATATGAATCCACCTGTGTATGAGGAACTGGAAATGAATAATTACCAACCTATTTTTATTGATGTTTAATAGGCAAAAGTGTTTGAGAAAAAGAATGCGGAAAGACGTAGGCCATCTGAAACCAAAACAGAAGTCAGGTGTCTTCAAATGCTATAAAATCTGCAGTGCTATAAAATCTTCTTTTAATAAGCAGCGAGGGAGATATTTCCAGCAGAACTGACTTATCAACTCCTCGAAAATAATTTACCATCAAATCGAGAAAGCTGATCTTATAGTCCATAATATAAACAACTAAAAACTTGGTTTATCGATTAGAACTTCGTGTCCCCTCAAAAACTTCTGTGAACTATTTGTAACTTGAACAGCTCGTTTTAGCTTAGATTTCATGAAGTTGTAGCTTTTGAAAGTTTTTACTAGTAGCACTTTATCATAGGTCTTTTCTTGATTTTTACACACGTAAAATGTCTAATTTCAAAACTCTGGAATTAAGTTTCAGGCAATAGTGTTCATTGCCAAAGATTAATTAAATGACAGTTCTTTGGAGACAAGGGATGCTTCCTAAGGAAGAAAATGCTTCTCGCTGGAAAAAGGGCCTGACCCAAAAGGGCATGGTCCCGGACCCCCTTTTTTCCCTCGCACTTATCCCGGGCTGGAGCTACTACTGGCCGACGAGTACCGTGACTTTCCTTATAGTGTTACGGAGTTTCAAAAGTAGCTCGACTAAATCTGTTAATTTCATAAATTGCATTCTTAAATTTTGTACCACGAAAAGATTGTTTGTAACGTTTTCTGTAGACTTTGCTTTAAACTTAATATTTTGATTTTGCAATTTTCTTTGCCATTTATTTTGTTATGATTAATGTGAATCTAAAAAAATTGAATCTATTTAATTTTTTTAAAAAAAATTCTAAGGCCGTGTGAGTTTGCCGTTTTTAGGCCATACTACACTTTTGCAGATTTTGCTATTATTCATTGGAAAATTGTAAGAATTCAATATTTCTATAGTTATGATTCAAAAGTTGAAGTGTTTTTCCAACTTTTGACCACACTTTGGGGATGAATACTGTAGGCCTAGATTATTTGAAAAAGGCTGCGCATATCTGAACAAGTTACCGTTGCAAAAGCAAATCCAACGCAACGCCATAGTTCTTTTCTCGAAGCGAAGGCGTCCCATCACTCTCCCTCCGCACACCCTTTTATTCGACACATTGTCATTCACATTTGAGAACTTTTGTAATCTTAAGTTTCAGATCGCCTCTGACTAATGCACGAGCATAAAATAAATAATGCGATAAACTTGATTTGTTTCTAAACAAATTTGACTACCCTTTGTTTTGCGTTCCTTTGCGTTATTTTGCGTTATTTGGTACTGATCTTTTATTGAGATCAGTGGTTAAACCATATCAGTTTTGCCTCATTTACAACAAATCGAAATCGAGATCAGCCTCGCGCACCGTTCCGCAAGCCTTTCCCAAACTAGCCAAAATGGTGAGTAAAGTTGTCGAAAGTCAACGTTGAAAAATCTGGAATAATCTTACGAATCTCTGAGGAATTTTTCTGAAATTGACCCTGTAAAATGTCTTTGATATCTGTTCTTTTGAATTGTAGCCTCGTGGACCAAAAAAGCATCTCAAGCGGCTCCATGCCCCAAAACATTGGATGTTGGACAAACTCAGTGGCTCTTTCGTAAGTGCTTCTTCTATTTCAAAGCCTCTTTTTTGAATATTTTTACATGCAGTCTGTTAGTATGCATAATGGCTAGTTTATACATGTTTTGACCAGTTTTACGCTTCTCCTAATGCTACTAAAAAATTATAAACTTGAAAATTGACTTCTCTTTGAGGCCAGGAAAATGAATTTTGAAAAATTGGCTTTTTAACTGCCCTTGTAAGAACTTTTTACCTATACAAATCAGACTGACGATGCTAATAGTCTGTGGATTTTGTTATATTTTTTCCGGGAAACGTGATGTTTTTTTACTTTAGTTTATAAAATGTTATTAATATGAAAACCTTGCATAGCATAGAGCTAAAACCGCACGAAAATAACAATTTTGATAGAGAGTAACTCATTCAATATCATTTAACATTCAAATATTGCTACCCTCCACTAAGTTGTAGATTTATAAACATTTCTGGACGAGTTTCTTTGCTGTTTGACAGTCCAAAATTCATTTGTTTTATTATTTTCTCTCAATTTTTTGTTCTGTCTGTCCAGGAAAATTTGGCTTTGTTGCCTCTGTGCATTTTAAGGGTTTTAGAACACAACCTCTTTTAAACATGATGTACAGTATCATCTCAACTTTGAATATTTCCTACAAGTAAGCAAGCATTTCTACCAAGAAGAATCCATGTGGAATCCATGTTAATTACATGCCAGATACTGGCCTGTAAATTATGAAGCTGTACTGAAAGCATTACATCTTAAAGCTACCACAAAAATGTTGTATGATACAGTGCAGTGAGATGTTTATAAGTCATATGCTGGCCCAATTTTAAGACAGCTTACAGCCCCAACCTCAGGAGTAGTTGCCCCAGCACTATCAATATTTCTACTATATCATTTAATATCTGGTTTCAAAATTTGCCCTCAGCTCTACTGTTTATGTATCTAGTGTAGGCCAGGCCTTGTAATGAGCAAACAACAGGAGAGCAGATAAATGAGCCCCCAAACTGATCAAGGGGCTCATTCAAGCTCCTCGTGACTTGGTAGCAGTCGCTTTATTCTTTGGTTTTGAAACCAATTACGCCCTCCTTTCCCCATTATTAAACTTTGCGAGTTTCACAGTTTATTTCACATTTGTACTAACGAAACCGCCATTTCCCTAAGACACACGCTTCTATGAAAATAAGACTCATCTATTAAAGTTGGAGAGAACAATGCGGCTGTAATGGTTGAACCAAAAAGTTGTTTCTTAGTGCGTGACCACAGCTCAAGTTATTGTGGTGACGCACTAAGAGACGATTTTAATTCTTCATTGTTTTCTTTAAAAACTTGAAGGGATGAAAATTTCTTTACATATCCAAGTAATTTGACAGCTAACTTTACCATTTTTTTGTAAATACCCAATATTAATCGCAAATAGTTTTTCTGAAACGCTGAAGGTGCTCGTATAATCAAGCGCCTAGAACTTGCGAGGGGAATGTGGAGGTGATGGTGCTCGATTGAGCGCTTCTCCTCACAAGGCCTGGTGTGGGCCATTAACATGTTCTTCATACTAAAGTACACCAAGGAAATTATCATCTCCACACCATCCACAGATATCTCTTGCCTAAGTTACATGGATTCCACCCTGGGGCCCAAGATGATATATATATCATTGACTGCAAAAAATTTCTTGCAAAGTTGTCAGCTGTTTTTGGCACTGGATATTGTGATCAATGTGACTTAATCTTACTATTTGCAGAAGTCAAACTTCTCAGGGTTTGCAATAGTTAATGTATATATATATTTTTGTTTTAGGCACCACGCCCATCTGCAGGACCCCACAAATTGCGAGAATGTCTTCCATTGATTATTTTCTTGAGGAACAGATTGAAGTATGCCCTCAACGGTGTTGAAGTGAAGAAAATTTTGAAGCAGCGACTCATTAAAGTTGATGGCAAAGTCAGAACTGATGTCACTTATCCTGCTGGTTTCATGGGTATGTCAGCCTACTTGAATATTTGATGAAACACTTTAAATCTAAGTGAGCATGCTGCAATTAGCCAAACATTTGTTTTTGTGCTGACCTTGTTACCTTTTATGATCTCAATTTAGAACTTTATATTGCATTTGAGTCCAGTGACCTCACAGTTTGAGGGATGTGATTTGGTGTCATGTGCTTACATGAGACAAGGTGCATGTTTTTTCATGCACCTGCTTCTGAAAAAGTGGCCATAAAGCATGGCTCAGCCATTTGCATTTTGTAAAGATTTCTTTTTAACAGAAACTTTGTCTAAATGCTCTGGGAATCATTTTTAAATTGCAGCATTAGCAATTTAGCATGCTAATTTTTTAGAAGAAGATGCATGACAAAATGGGCACACAATTTGATTTGATCATATTGATTAAGATTGCGTGCAAAAGCTGTACGATAAAATCACTTCTCCCTGATTGAACCAAAGTTATGGATCGCACATCTTGCTGGAAAGTTTTGCTTAGAGGCACGCTATCACTAATGAACTTGCAGAAAGCCTTATGGAGAGACCTGATTTAAATCTATATAAGATATAAAAACATGTCTGATTTGATTTGATGTTATTGATCATAGTTGTGATCATATCAATCCTGGGTTAAAGCTTCACCGTAAAGCCATGGCCAAGCAGATGAAAAATTGGATGTAATGTTGAGAAAGAGCCACCTTGTTCTGTTTAGTGGACATTCTGATAACTGAGGTGTTGTTAAGCAATGTACAGTTTGGCCAGACACTGAACAAAACTCAGATGCACTTGTGGGCAATAAGGGAACTGTGGATGTTTGGCTTCAAAATTTATTTTATGTTGCTGTGTTGTATTGAAATATTTTCAAGAATTTCACTCAACTCATCAGGGTTGCAATGCAAAATATATTTCAATTAAATTTTGCAGAAAAAGGAGTGTGAGATTGTAAAATGAAAAAGACCAGCATTATAAGATAAATGATATCGGTTGATTTGGGCCAATCAATTTGGTTGTCAGTCAAGTAAAGCCAACATGCCCATTTCATTTGATAACATTTCTCTGTGAAATATCCTACAGACCCACCAGTTTGGTTTAGGCCATAAACCTCTGCTAAGCCTAGGTCCACCATAATAGGTCCAAAGATGGTTCAGTAGTAAGGGTCTCGAACTACAGAGCCTGACATGACAAACTTCATAAGCATAGCTTCTAGGTGTCCTAATAACTGCCCTTAAAACTTGAATTAATTTTTGAAATAGAAGTTCTTGTAATTACAGAAAGTTTGAAGCAGTTAACAAGCTCTTGATCAGTTTTACTTTCAATTACCAAAACAAAAATTGCAATTTTTAGTTGGAGAGGCCCTTCGTTTTATGTTTCATTTGATTTTTCTTTGCAACTAGATGTTGTCACCATTGAAAAGACAGGAGAATGCTTTAGGCTTCTGTATGATGTGAAGGGTAGATTCATCTGCCACCCAATTACACCAGAGGAGGCAACCTACAAACTTGCAAAGGTAAGAAAAGTTGCAGTTGGACAGCACTCAATCCCATACTGTGTCACCCATGATGCAAGAACCATCCGTTATCCAGACCCAGCCATTAAGGCCAATGACTCTGTTGTTATTGACCTGAAAACTGGTAAGATCACAGACTCCATCAAGTTTGACACAGGAAACACTGTTATGGTTATTGGTGGACGTAACACAGGAAGAATTGGCACCATCACTCACAGAGAAAGGCATGCAAGTAAGTTCATGAACTAAACAAATTCCAGCCTGTCTGATGCTTTTTCAATGTATTGTACATTTTACAAGAATAAGAATTTTTGATTGTATCTTTTTTAAGTAACAATGCTTATTTAATAGCTACAGCTTTTATAGATAAAAAGTTTTGAAGTTTTATGCTGTCAACCCTAAAGGAGATGTGATAAATAAATAAATAAACAAAGAAATAAATAAATAAATACAAAGTACCAAATCTCCTAATGTGATAACATTAGGTCAGGTGTGGCTGATCTTTAAGAATGCTATGTGTGTGACATTGAATGTGTCTTCATTTGTCTTTTATTATTGACTAGTTTTTTAGTTAAAATAGCTGTTTACGTGAACAAAGACTGAAGGATTGTATATTATTTTCTAGGCTCTCATGATATTGTCCATGTTAAAGATGGAACTGGCCATGCATTTGCCACTCGTTTGTCAAATATTTTTGTCATTGGTCGTGGCACAAAGGCAATGATTTCCCTACCACGTGGAAAAGGTATCAGGCTCTCTATTGCAGAAGAAAGAGATCGTCGTTTAGCTGAGAAAGCTAAAATGAGCTAAAGACAATAAAAAATGTAATGTAATTGTTACCAAATGCAAGAAAGTGAATTTGCATAACAGATTGTCTTTCTTTGTTTTAAAATAAGTCTGTCTTGTGTTTTTCATCTGTAACATTTGCAGTTCAAAGGCAAGTATCAGAAAAATTGTGACCAGAAAATAAAATCTACTAATTGTTACAATTATACATGTTGTTTAAATACAAGCAAGTCAAAAATATGTCTAGCCAAGCTAAAATCAATGTCAAAAGTGTGCACATAACACATCACGAAGACATGGCAAATTGATTTGCTGACAAATTTGGATGTATATGTATTTAGGGAAGGGAAGAGTCACAAACTGATTTGTTTTTTTTAAGCCATGTTTTAAATTTAGTATGACCTAATTTTTTCTGAAAATTGATTTCATTGGTAGGCTAGGCGTGAAGGGTTTCACAATATTGTCAACTGGACACAAAACATGAACACTGGGAACAAATTTTTAGTCTGCTTTTAGTACCACAAGCTTTCCCTAACTAAAAAGAACTATTTCAGTAAAGTTTCCCTATTGATGGTCTATTTCTCTACGAAAGTTTCAACTGGCTTTTGTGCTTTTATTGCACTCACGACGAACCATGTAAATGTCACAAGTGCAGGAACAAAAGCTGCCGATTTCTTCGTTAAACTATCCCCAAAATACTTTGTGTTGGTGTCAAAATCATCTGAGAACAAGCTGCGGCCATTGACAATGCAACTTGATCTGTATCTAAAGGAGGCCATTGTCTCGTTTGCATTTCGAATAAACGCAGCGTCAGTTATACTGTAGACTTGCCGTGATCCAGTTACGTACTGACCGTACTTCGCTGGCTCATAAAACAACTGGTTGCTCCAAGTCCATGTATCGATAATCAGTACTATTGCTACCAAGCCATAACAAAGCCACTTGCCTTTAATCTTCACGTTGACGCAGAACATGCGGAAGTCTAGATTTTTTCTTTTCAATCCAGGTAACTTGATTTTTGAATTTCTATCAAAATTTGGAAACTGCCAGTCCTGCAGAACGTGGTAGTATTCCATCAAGAGTTATCAAATGTTTTGATTTTAGGTACGACTTTCTACCAAATATTATACATTTCTGAAGTGAAGATTATTCTAAGGTAATCAATGGTTTAGATCCAGCGGTATTCATTCTTATTAGTACAAAAAAATGGGTCGCTAAAATGCAGCCGTCTCGATATTTATTAATGATACAAGGCAATGTCGAAGTGAAGAAGTTTTGATTTGTTGTTTTTTGCTGTTTGTTGTTTGTAAAGAAAATGTGAACATAGAAATTCGAGTTTCTCTGTAAAAAAGCTTTGTCGCAACACTGTAAGTGTCATACTCAGCCTTCTTTAGTCATGTAAGTCGGCCAATCAATCAGCTAACAAAATCAGTCAATTAATAAATTAGTCATTACTATAGATCAAGATCATCTGCTTTTGTATACTATGTCCGTTTTGCGAGTGTCCGTCGAATAGCAGCGTCTTTTGATGAAGGTTACACACCGTAAACTGTAAAACATTGTAGTTTCATTTGGTTTTGCCATTATCCCAAAAGAGGCTTGACGTTGAAACAAAAACTTTAAACAAAGATCTGCTTACTTTGGCTGCTCTAAGACATACTATAAAGAAAACGAATTTTAAAAAAAGAGGCTTACCTGCATAATGACAAGAAGGTCAAAGACGATGATAAATGACGCAAGAAACGAACGCGATACTTCATTCGACGAGAGCAAGTTTGTGTTCATTGTGTCCCAGCTTAAAAGGTCAAAGCAAACTGCCAAAATGGTTAGGACTGTGATTGCCACGGCAATAACCCAGAATATAATCAACCGTAAATTGCCACTGCGCCAGAAGTACCTGAGGTCTTTGGCCCAACGAGGATATCGCTTTTGCTAGAAATAGATTATATAGGAGAATTTAGAATGATGCACCCTTGTCATCAAAGCTCAAGCGATCTAGCACAACCGTCACGAAAGTACATAAACTAGCGCTTAAAGGCAGAAACAGGGGCGGCGCCAAGAAATTCAAATTAAGGGGGGCTCGAGTTGATAGCTTTATTAGACTAAAAAAACCATTATTTGAAAAACGCATTAAAATGCTCCACGATATTTTATGCCTATGATTTTATGGGGCAAACGTTATGCTAGCGATACATTGGACGGACCGGCGATAAATTGTAGTAGGCGATAAGTAAACCTGTAAAAAGAGGTTTCCCAAAATTTTTAGAGAAAACTTTTTGCAATCACACCCTTAAGAACTTAAAACCAAGCTTAAAACATTTCAGAATATTTCTTTCAGTGATTTTCTTGCAACAATTTAAAAAAATATCGCCCCATTCCAAAAAATGAGTCACTCAGGGGTTGCGCGCACGTGAGAACACTTTGAATCGTTCCGTTGAGTGATACAAAAAGTGGAACAGTATGCATTCGTTTCGTCCCGTGTGAACAGGTGAAATGGTCCGAAAAACAGAATGATTACTGATTTGGCTAAATGCTTGCATTGTTCATATGGGAATACTCATAGGCGCATTGGTAAACTCTTGAAATTCTAGCACAAAAAGTAGAACGGAGCGATTGTCTTCCCGCGTGAAGGGAAAGAAACAATTGGTACGTGATCGTTCCGTTCCCGCCTGAACAGTTAATTTCCCGTTTGTTCAAGCATTTTGAACGTCATTGGAAGAGTACACAATCCTTCCCGTGTGAACCGGGTCTTAACCTGCATCTGCCATCAGTTTTAACAATTTTTGTTTGTATGTGATTCCAAAAAGAAAAGTAGACCACGGCATGCTGATCTTCGTGGCACAATCCGAACTGAAAAAATCTGATTTCCTTAAAGATTTTTGACGAAAAATTTCTAATTTATCAACATGTAACTGGCCTTCCAGCTTATAATAACATGAATGTTTAGTGTTATTATGCCTAGCAATATCGTATTCCTTCCGCACTGCGATTCTTTCAGACAAATCAAGCACATAGCAAAGTCATTTTGCTGAGCTACGGAAAAGTCGGTTATCCGCGATAATTTTAAATTGCGGTTCACTAACTCTCCCTCTTCACGGCTTTTTAGAAACATGGCTTGTACCAATCTTGAACTTTTCAAACAAGCGCGGCGTGTTCATGGTTTGGGCACAGAATAAGGGGTTGGGTTCCCAGCGTTGAACTGGAAGTCGCCAAGTAAACGCGCGCGAAAGTGGGTGCGCTTTTCTGTTACAACCTGAATAAATACAATGCAGTTCTTTATCAACTTTGACCCAAGCGCGGGCCACATTAGACAACATGACGGGCCATGCGTTGGACAAGCCTAGGATTTATCGCACTTTTCTTTTCATCTATTTCTTTTCTTCTATTCTTTTTATTTCCTTAAAAAAACTTTTTGCAAAATGTGGGGGGGGGCATGTTATTCGTTCATACAGTCAAAAAACTCCTTCATCTTACTTTACGACTCCGTACATCCAAGTTTTACTTATGTATTGACATTACAATGGAAATTAAATAAAAACTTTACGGTTACGACTGTGTGCAGAGAAGGTCTTCAAACGTACTCGGCATTTTTTTCTTTTGAAATGTCGAGCTTTCTAGAGTGAAAGGTTGCAGACGTTTAAGCAGGACTTTATGTGTGCCTATTAAGGAGTCACCCACTCAAACCACTTTTGGCCGTACCTGGATATAAATTCCAGATCGTTGTTTGCTTTGAACCGGCGATTTATTTTATGTATGCTGCAGTAAAGATCCACTTTTTATGGTAACTGGATATTTTTGGGTACAGAAGAACTATTTAGGTGTGTTCATTTAGAAAAATGGTAATATCGCCAGAGAGCAGAGACTTATAAATTCATGTAGAATCTTGTTACTTCTCTTCTTAAGTCAATAAAAGGCCTACTTGTAACATGCCATCTGTTACCATCCATGCTGTCAAAAAATGAGCAAGCCAGGAAATTGATAACGCTCCTTTCATGAACGTTTTGTATTTCATCTCCATGTTACTGGAAACCATATACTGAGGGTTGCCGGAAGCTCTTATTGTTTCATTGTAGAGGAAAGTCCATGTAAACAGAGACACAACCGTTGTCAGAAACATGATTACCCAAGATCCTTCACCGTCTGATGTAAATATCTTAAAGCGAAGTATTCTGCACAGGAGCACTTTGTGTACAAATGTTTTACCAAGGATCATTCCTGCTACAATTGCACTGAGCCAGAAAAAGAATTTCATTGCTGCATATCCCGTGCTTGGATACCTTGAAAAGACAAGGGTACAAACAATTATTTACTACCAAAATGGGATCTTTTTATAAAGTAAAGATACTTGCTTGAAACTAAGGTATGTTGATTCATAATATTTGTCCGATGAACTAAGTCAAATTGAGCAATTTATTGGTAAAAATGCAGATATTTTAGAAATTTGTTTAAACAACATAATGCAGAGTTTTTGGGAAAAAATTTCACTGTTAGCCTAATTTAGTTTTAGCTTGTTTCATTTACGTGTCTTAATAAAATCATTTATTGTTGTACAATTCAAACTTTGAAGCTTGCAGAATGTTTAGCCTAACCTCAAGAATATGAATGAGTAGGCGTGACCAAGAACTTTCACTCTGCAGTCAGCTGAGCTGTATGAAATTGGATCCTGGGCGAACATCAACCAAGTCAAGAAAACGAGAAAATATGCAATGAATAATCTTGTGTTTGGATGCTTGAAATAGTAATCAAAGTTGGTATGCTCATATTTTGACATATTCACTTTCTCTGATGTCCATTCCAACGTATTCTTTGTTTTTGATGATATAGATTTTTTTCTTCCAAGATCTCTTGGTGTATCTTCTGTCTTAATCTGAAATTTGATAACAGTAGTGGAAGATTTTGTACTTAATGATATAAATATCACCATAACAGAAATACAGTGCAAGTAGGAGAACAAACTTTTTGTGATACTTTTTACATCTTTTTGCAACAGCCAACCTATCATTTGATGGTATTTTCAGAAATATTTGTTTGAAAAAAGCAAAATTGTCATTCGATGGATTAATCAGATGCAAAACTTTTCTAAATCATTTCTAATTAAAAACATTGTTTGACGTACATAATCACTCATTTGGGGTTGCTCACTGCTGATGGTTCCTCGTTAGGACCTTTGTTTTAATTACAATTTTCTGTCAAAGCATCCAACTGTCCATACACTTGCATCGATAATCTTGATAGAACTTAGTAGATCTTTAATATCATCGATAAACCTGTCGTTTATTTCTTATATGCATAATTATCAAATATTAAAAGTTGAGTCTTTCTAATTCTTGCATCAAGCCGAGAGTTGCGACTAACACTAACAAGATCTATGCTGGGTAAGATCAGGCAAGGCATTCAATTCCCCTACCTTTTCGAGATCTAATGCCAAAGAAGTCTCTTTAGCTGGCACGACACGTCTTTTCCGACGCTTAATCTTCCCTTGTTTCCATTTTCTCACCATTTTTTCATCAGGACTTTCATGTTTTCCATACTGGTGGGCAAGATAGAAGAAAAGGCATACGCCAAACATCCAAGGTGCAAATGACAGTGCTAGAAGAAAGGTGAGTTTTTGAATGGCTTTGTTCAAAGCAGCATAAATCCATCTACAGTTGAACCTTGTTAAGTCGTACCTAGAATAACTTTAATTGAGTCGGATTGATTTTCAATTTCCACTGGATTTTCCTACTTTGTTCGAGCCAAAAGTTGCAATTAAAAATTATCGAAAATTCGGTAAGTCGGGGCATTTCCTTACGCCCATTGAAGGCCGGACCTAACGGAATTCAACTGAATGAAATTTTTCTTAGTGTAGCATCATTTTCAACCATGATTTCCCATTCTTGTATGACGTGTAATGGAGGCAACAAGCGGTAGTTACTTGCATGAACCTTTCCACCATTTTTCTCTACTGCCGAGGAAAAATGTGTATTGTCTCTGGTAAATTAGACTTGCTCCAAGTCTATTTCATGCTTGAGAGAGAAGTATTTACTTCCCTCCTTCGCAGAAGTCCACAGGAGGGAAGTAAATACTCCTCTCTCAAGCACGAAATAGACCTGGAGCAAGTCTACTGGTAAATTATTAGTAGAGAGCAAGTAACCTTTTAGTCTCATTGAATACCCTTTGTATGTTACTGAGATACGTTTATTATTGAATGGCGCCAAATAAGTTTCATTGTAACCATTAACTGTATGGTTCAATGCCAGTTGGTGTGCAGCTGTACCAGGTATGGGTACTTTGATAAATCCTTTTTCCAAAATTTTGTGAATTGTACCTAAAACAAAGATTAAGAACTTGCACATTTTAAACTCTGATAGAAAGTGGAATATCGTTCGAGATGTGAAAGCTTGAGTTTGTATCTATAATGGCAGAAAGGATCAGTAGTTTTCGCAGAAGTCCACAGGAGGGAAGTAAATACTCCTCTCTCAAGCACGAAATAGACCTGGAGCAAGTCTACTGGTAAATTATTAGTAGAGAGCAAGTAACCTTTTAGTCTCATTGAATACCCTTTGTATGTTACTGAGATACGTTTATTATTGAATGGCGCCAAATAAGTTTCATTGTAACCATTAACTGTATGGTTCAATGCCAGTTGGTGTGCAGCTGTACCAGGTATGGGTACTTTGATAAATCCTTTTTCCAAAATTTTGTGAATTGTACCTAAAACAAAGATTAAGAACTTGCACATTTTAAACTCTGATAGAAAGTGGAATATCGTTCGAGATGTGAAAGCTTGAGTTTGTATCTATAATGGCAGAAAGGATCAGTAGTTAGGGTCGTGGGGCTACAGATAACAAGACAAAAATAAACTTCAACCCAGAGTGAGCGAAAACGCCAGCTCTCTGCAATTTCAGGCGTAGGAATCACGAGGTGTGGCCAAATCTAGAGAAAGGACCGGGACACTGCTCAGTGTCCTGAAAACTACCTTCACATGCTATGAAGAAACAAGACAAAACAAAATATAAAAGCCGATGTCAGCTGCAACTAAAAATGTATCCCTATGTCACACGAACAATTGTGAAGTGTATTAACTGTTAATTTTCCCAATGCGTATTGTGTAAAATGAACTCCTAAGTATTGATCTGCTCTGCATAAATTTGGACAGTCTGCTAGAGTTCGGACTTTAGGTATATGCACATTAAATCTGTGTCCCAAAACACTACATTGAATGATTAGTTTGCCAAAATTAATTACAAACCTTCGTTATCTGTAAATTGACCATATTCAGTAGGCGTGTAATGTATCTGTCTTGTCCACATTACAAACTGTAAAATGATGACCAAGACAAGAGTTCCATAGCTGAACCACTTTCCAGAAATTATGATGCTGCATTTCGATCGTGTACAACAACAAGGCACAGAGCTTCTCAAATACGGAAAATCGAATCCAGGTAGTTTTGCAGCCCCATTATTTGCAAAGTGTGAAAAATCCCAATCCTATTCAATGATAAAGAAACTTTTAGCATTAAACAAGTTTTGCTCCGCTAGATTTGATGCAGAGAATGTAACTCTAAATTCTTGTGTCAGAAGAATTAGATGAATAGAATGACTGCCGTGTATTGCTTTCATTTAGTTAAAAATCCATAAGAGCAAATCAAAGCAGTGGCGTCGCCAGCTCGAAAAAACTGGGGTGGACAAAAACAAATTTTCTCGGCCACGCCTTTCAGACTCTAAGAAAAACCATTATTTAGTATTTTTTATCCATTTTGAAATTTTTTGCACAAGCAACTTTCTCAAGCAGAACTTTCCGTAACGGTGGTTTTTTGGCCAGTGCGAAAATCGAAATCGATCTGATTAGCCCAATTCCTCCCCCCCCCCTCCCCCAAAGGTTTTTTAACGGATTTCGAGAAATTAAAAAATCCACTTCTGGCAAAACGGGGATGCACATGTCCACCCCAGTCCACCCCGGGGCGACGCTACTGAATCAACGTGTATTTATCGTCTAAAAGTTCCTGAAGGAAAGGATTTTATAAGGTAAAAAGGCTCATTTTTTGATGGTAATAGAGGTCTGAAATTCATATTATCCTTCTCTTGATATTGAGAGGACATCAGATATCTGACAAGTTAGTTTATGATACAACATATCTTTTCGTTACTTCGTAACTGCTAAAGCAGTAAATATTTAGTACAAACTAAAACTGAATAGTGAAGAATCCCCATTTTTATACAGACTTAGTCGTGAACTTAAATGTTTAATTGAGCTTTCTCTGGCCAGTGATGCATTTAGTGTTAAGAGTCTGATATCTTTAAAACAATCAAGTTCCTATCAAATTTTGACCAAGTAATATCGTAATCATTTTACCTGAATAAGTACTAAAATTTCCAGAAAGATAACAGCTGAAGCTAGGCATGCTCTAGAGAACTCATCCGTTGTTATAAAATGTTTATGCAGTTGATCCCAATGAATGAAGTCTGTTGTGATTGCAGTTACAATTAAAATTGTTGAACCCAATGTCATCAACCAGAATATGACCAATCTCTTATTACCTTTGCACCAAAAAGCTCGAAGACGTACAAACATGTTGGTATACTTCTTCTCCTGAAATTGACGAAGAATATTTGACATTCCATAATCTCTACTAAAAGTAAAGTTTGAAATTCACAATCTTCTATCAAACTTCACACTTAACCGAAAGAATCGTTTCATGGTCGATTCAAAATCAAATTAATGCCTTTCACATTAAGAACATTCAAGAAGATTTGGTAAGCATCCAATCATTGCGAGAACAATTGAGATTAATGCAACTTTATGATAGTATATACAACATGGTACAAAAAGTATGAGGAATAAGGTTTAGGCTATTGCATGCAAAAAGTTCTGTAGCTGTCGCTTGTTCAAATTTAGCTGAAACATCACAGTTTCCAGGGCATAAGTCTCACACCCTTGCTTTAAATGACGCACTGAAGTCGATTTAGAATTCAATTGACAATCAGTTTAAACGCAAAACTGAAGCTCAGGAATGGGCCATTTTTTCAAACATGTTGGAAAATGTCTCTCTACCTAGAACTAATGCTCAAACTTTTGGAACACTGTGTTGGACTTGCACAATCGTGATATCAATTTCCTCCTATCTTTAAAATTTTTTTGTTTTCTACAAAGTAGCGTCAGCTGTTAGGAAGTTTGTTGCTCGATTAATTTTTTTAAGAAATGATTTAGTTGCATTTGGTATTTTATAAGCTACAAATGTGCATTTGAATTTTCAGGATTTCTGTTTGAGCCCCACTGCACAGCTTGTGTGACCGTCAACGCAAAATTGTCCTTAAAATTTTCACAGGTACCTCCGAAAGTATTTTAATCTTACTACGAAAGCATTTCCATTTTCCTAGAATGATCTTACCTGTAGCATCATGTCAATAATAGTCCACATTGTGAAGATATTTCCAATCCAAATAAAAGCAGCAATTGCTTTCATTAGACATTTATTCTCTATTTTGAAACTGTTATCACATTTATAAGAAAGTGTGTATTCACCACAGGCGTCCAGGATTACATTATACAGTAAGCTGAATCCATAAAGTGATACTATGGATGTTAAAAACATTATAATCCATGCTCCTTGACTATCCCTGGCGAAAAATCGCGATTTAAGCTTTGTGCATAGGATCCACTTATGAATTACCAATCTGCCTATAATAAGGCCAAGCAATAGACCAGACATCCAGAGCAATACTTTCAAGCCAGCAAAACCACCATTGGGATACCTAAAAAGTACCCGAAGGCGCAGGTCAATCTTTTTAAATTACTTGACAGTTTTTTGGACAATACATAGATAATGAAACATGGTGGGTTTTAAAAAATCTACTTTACAGAAGAATCAAAATGTTCTGGATTTTGTATGTGGGCACTGCTTTATCTGTTAAAACAACAAAGTACGAAATACTGGCAATAAGATTTAATTAAATTGATTTTTTAGCATTTGTGTCAGTGAAATGACATGTAATAGGCAAAATTCAGTTTTAAATGTTGTTTCTAGGGAACCAACAGATCGGGATATAACATAGGATAAAAGTTCGTCTTATCATTATTATAAGTATAAATTATTATTTTCTAATTCATTGCATTTTTTTGTTCACATCGTACAACATATTTGTGATATCATTACATCACATGTGTTTTTTTGTAATTGATTTCTTACTGAACTAGAATTTAGAAGAGCAAGTATATCATCCCTACGTAGTTAAAGAATGTTAATATCTCTTGGTAATATTCCAACTAATTTTATCGTTTAAATATACCAAAAATAAACAATATCACGCATTAGATACAGGAAACTTACTTAAGAAAAATGAACGAGTAGATGTTTCCAATGACATCAATTTTGCAGTCAGCTCCACTATAGCTAATTGGGTTTTGTGCAATAAGATAAAAATCGAGAATAATCAAGGTTAAAACAGTCACTAATCTCGCACTTGGATGCTGCAGATAGAACTTGAATGTTTTCTGTTCTTTTTCACGGTCGTCACATTCTGATGCATTAAATTCGTCTTCTGCCTAAGAAAGAAAACGCTGATCAAACGCTGCTTTTATAAGAACAATAAACATCTGCGAATTGCATAAGGAGTGGTCAGAGCATTTTTTAAAAATTTTCCACTGGTGGGGCATTTGAGAAAAGGGCATATAGATAAAGGCAGAATTTACAGATAAACAGGCTTTCAAAAATATTCTAGGGGAATCGCCTTTAGAAGCAGCAGTTCCTGGGAAAAATGAATTGAGATTTGAAACCTGTTCAATGAAGATTTCATCCACAAATATCTCAAATAAAGTAAAAAGTAAAAAAGTCACCGAATCATAAGGGCACTTAAGTGGTGGGGCAAATATGTTTCACTGGTAGGGCAATGAAAGGGGCTGGTGGGGAATTTCCCCACCACTTTATATGTTAAAAAATGCCCTGGGAGTGGTTCTAAATCAACACATCGCTGTATTTTGTTATTGACTGGAAATCTCTTATTAACTGACAACTCTGGTGGTTCCAACAATATTATTTATACTGACTAAGGAAATCAATGTCCCGTGTTATGTTATTGGTACTTCGAAATTAAAGATATATTTTATAAAGATATAGCTCTATCTAAAAATGCAGCTTTACTAGTCTACAATTAAGAATGTATGAATTATGTTACGATACACTTAAATTTTGAGGAAAAACTATGTTTTAGAGTTTTTATTGAAAATTTTCATGGTGATGCATGTCGCTATGTCTTGTGTTGTAAACGAGCATACATAGAACATACGATAACGTAACTTACCAGATACTTTTTGCCAATATGTTCAAATTTCCTGAGTTTAATCAGCTGGTCTATCGTAACTGGGTTAGCAGAATTCATCTCGAGCTGAGTCTCGTACTTTCTTTGCTTACTTGTTATACTGTTACTTTGTTATACAGGAGGCCGAAAGCTCACCCACTTCTCCAGCTAGTTAACTGAAGAAGAGAAGAGTCGATTAAAGATCTACTAAGAATGGAGAATGCATCAGAATATGAACCAGTAAGTACAGATTTAATCGCACCTCCTTAGACAAAACAAAGACTGGTGATGTCAGTCTGTCTTGTCTATCATTTTGTACGACAAGGTGAACATTCAATATGTATGCCTTGCCACAAAATCAATACCACAAAATTATCAAAAGGATGTGATCTATTTGATTTTGTTCATATTTTCAAAGAAACCGTGCTGGGAAGCGTTTCAATAAAAATGACATAGAGTATTCATTATTTAATGCCCAAAACGGCAAGATTTTGTCCTTGTGGTTTTAAGGTATTTCACGTCGTTTGCCATTTATCAAAGCTTTCTCTCTGTACTGTTTTAAAAAGAATTATCACGGACACAGCTGTTTGTTCTATAAATACAGTTTTAAAAATACGCAGATCTGTATCGTACAGTGTGCAACCGCAAAAAAGAGAAAGAAACAAATTTTTGTAAGGTTGAGGCTTTTAAAGATCGTCAAAACATTCAAAAATATTTCCTTCTAAAAACGATTTCATTTGCTTTCGTTTGATCCCAATAGTAATGGATTAGACTCTTGCAACTTTACTACGATGCTTATGACTCGTTATTTAAGCAACCTATAGAATGTGAATAAAGTATTAAATAGTTTTACAAGTAGCAGCCAATTGTGTTGTGCATCAGCCTTTAATATATGTCTTAGCTGTGAAAGGTGCATTAATTTGATGCTGCTTGATGGGTGCTGGCACAAAAAGTTGCATGAAATAAACAGAAAAGGGAAGGATATTGTGCTCTGTGCTGTATTCAGTGACAACTAAAAAATCTTGAATAGGTTTGCTCAGATCTGATCTTGCTCAGAAGCTTTCAAACACACCTTTTGAATCGTATTCCAGAGCTTCCATCTTCAAATCAACAGCTTATAGAAACTCTTTATTTAACACAATGTGAACTGCAGCTGAGCTGTGCCTTTTAGTCTGAAATCAATTTGGCATAGCACTGTTCGTGGTATAATATGTTATTTCCTTACAACTGTGCTTCAATTTCAACCTTGTGCATCCTATTTATCATCATATCTTGCTTCACTTTTGTATTTAACACGTTCCTGGTCTCCTCTCATCTGCTGGAAAGTATGAATCACTGCCTTGAAGCTTTTTAAGCCTAAATGATGCTCAGTTCCACTGATTACACAAGTTTTATTAATATATTCGTCTTTGATGTCAGGTTCTTCATGAAATTAAAGGCAATGTCAGGAATACTTCAAGCTTTCATTTTTTGTTAGCATGATATTTCTAGCTTCTGATCCTTCTTTATAGCTTTTGGAAGAAAATATCTTTCTAGTTTTCCAGGCTTAGATTTCCCTCGACTTTCCATTCATCAAAGTTTTCTACTCTAAGCTACATCTGCGTTTTAGTGCATGACACAAAGAGAATTTTATTTGTTCTATTCAAAAAGAAGCTTCCCTTTCAATTACCATGACAAAATTGGTTGAATTGGACCTTGTTTTAGCTTTTCGAGATTGTCATTGCGATTGATCTTCGGTCTTCTTTCACCTAGATTGCAACAACTAGGATTCATCTTCCATCTGAATTATTGTCTTTCCAAATCTGCTCGAGATTAAATAACGTCTGAAAGGAAAAGTGGTGACAATGTCTAGCATCGTTGAAACTTTTGTTTTCTTGAACTTTTCAAACAATGTTGACCATTCGTTCATTCAGAGCTCTATTATTCAGTTACTGTAAGGTAGCTAAAATTTTCTCGATTTTTCTAAGCCTAAAACCTTCTCTTATTATCAAAAATTGTTCCTTCTAAAAAGTCGGTATATCTTCAAAAATAATGTTTTTATTCCAGTGATGAGCACAATCCTTGTTTATCATAAACAATAACAAGAAAATCAAGTTTCTTTAACCAGAAACAATCTTTGAAAATTTTCTGGATTTTTCTAAGCCTATAACCTTACCTTATTTTCAAAAATTGTTCCTTCAAAAACTCGGCACTTTTTCAAAAATAGGGTTTTTATGCCAGTGATGAGAATACTTCTTGTTAATCATGATCAATAAGAAGAAAATCAAGTTGCTTTTAGAGGGAAAAATCTTTGAAATTTTTTTCGATTTTTCTAAGCCTATAACCTTCTCTTTTTATGAAAAATTTTTCCTTCTAAAAAGTCGATATATCTTCAAAAATAATGTTTTTATTTCAGTAATGACAACAATCCTTGTTTATCATAATCAATAAGAAGAGAGTCAAGTTGCTTTTAGAGGGAAAAGTCTTCGAAAATTTTGTTGATTTTTCAAAGCCTATAACCATACCTTATTTTCAAAGATTATTCCTTCAAAGAACTCGCTACTTGTTTCAAAAAAAGAGGTTTTATGCCAGTAAAGAGCACATATCTTGTTTATCATGATCAATAAAAAGAAAATCAAGTTGTTTTTAGAGGGAAAAGTCTTCGAAAATTTTGTTGATTTTTTTAAGCCTATGACCTTACCTTATTTTCAAAAATTGCTCCTCCAAAAAACTCGGTACTTTTTCAAAAAAAGGGTATTTATGCCAGTAATGAAAACAATTCTTGTTTATCATGATCAATTAGAAGAAAATCAAGTTGTTTTTAGACTGAAAAATCTTCGAAAATTTTTTCGATTTTTCTAAGCCTATAGCCTTACCTTATTTTCAAAGAATGTTCCTTCAAAAAACTCGGTACTTTTTTCAAAAAAGGGTTTTTATGCCAATGATGAAAACAATTCTTGTTTATCATGATCAATAAGAAGAAAAACAAGTTGCTTTTAGACGAAAAAATCTTCGAAAATTTTTTCGATTTTTCTAAGCCTATAACCTTACCTTATTTTCAAAAATTGTTCCTTCAAAAAACTCGTTACTTTTTTCAAAAAAAGGGGTTTTATGCCAGTGAAGAGCACATATCTTGTTTATTATGATCAATTAGAAGAAAATCAAGTTGCTTTTAGACTGAAAAATCTTCGAAAATTTTTTCGATTTTTCTAAGCCTATAACCTTACCTTATTTTCAAAGATTGTTCCTTCAAAGAACTCATTACTTTTTTCAAAAAAGGGGTTTTATGCCAGTGAAGAGCACATATCTTTTTTATCATGATCAATAAGAAAAAGATCAAGTTGTTTTTAGAGGGAAAAATCTTCGAAAATTTTTTTGATTTTTTTAAGCCTATAACCTTACCTTATTTTCAAAAATTGATCCTCCAAAAAACTCGGTACTTTTTCAAAAAAGGGTATTTATGCCAGTGATGAAAACAATTCTTGTTTATCATGATCAATAGGAAGAAAAACAAGTTGCTTTTAGACGAAAAAATCTTCGAAATTTTTTTTGATTTTTCTAAGCCTATAACCTTACCTTATTTTCAAAAATTGTTCCTTCAAAAAACTCGTTACTTTTTTCAAAAAAAGAGGTTTTATGCCAGTGAAGAGCACATATCTTTTTTATTATGATCAATTAGAAGAAAATCAAGTTGCTTTTAGACTGAAAAATCTTCGAAAATTTTTTCGATTTTTCTAAGCCTATAGCCTTACCTTATTTTCAAAGAATGTTCCTTCAAAAAACTCGGTACTTTTTTCAAAAAAGGGTTTTTATGCCAATGATGATAACAATTCTTGTTTATCATGATCAATAAGAAGAAAAACAAGTTGCTTTTAGAAGGAAAAATCTTCGAAAATCTTGTCGATTTTTCTAAGCCTATAACCTTAACTTAATTTCAAAAATTGTTTGTTCTAAAATATCGATATTTTTTCAAAAATAGGGTTTTTAGGCCAGTGATGAGCACAATTCTTGTTTATCATGATCAATAAGAAGAAAAACAAGTTGCTTTTGGAAGGAAAAATCTTCGAAAATTTTGTCGATATTTCTAAGCCTATAACCTTACCTTAATTTCAAAAATTGTTTGTTCTGAAATATCGATATTTTTTCAAAAATAGGGTTTTTATGCCAGTGATGAGCACAATTCTTGTTTATCATGATCAATAAGAAGAAAATCAAGTTGCTTTTAGAAGGAAAAATCTTCAAAAATTTTTTCGATTTTTCTAAGCCTATAACCTTACCTTATTTTCAAAAATTGATCCTCCAAAAAACTCGTTACTTTCTCAAAAAAGGGTATTTATGCCAGTGATGAAAACAATTCTTGTTTATCATGATCAATAAGAAGAAAAACAAGTTGCTTTTAGACGAAAAAATCTTCGAAAATTTTTTCGA